AAGCTTCAGACTTTCCTAGAAACTCGGATTGGAGCAACTCTTTATGTGTCTCGATATACGGATCCACCAAGGAGGAGTTGTGCAGAACTGTGTAGTGTGCTTTATTAAAATAATTGTCATGCGTACCAATATATGTTTTCTTCCCAAGGGCCCTTTTTACTTAGTCTCCCCTCGTGTCGCGATTTAGGAACACCAATCGGGTCAAGGTCGAGAATAAAGTCAACACAAAACTCAATGACCTCCTCTGTTCCATAGCCCTTGGCGATGCTTCCTTCTGGCTGAGCACGGTTGTGAACATATTTCTTTAGGACTCCCATGAACCTCTCAAAGAGGAACATGTTGTGCAGGAACACAGGACCTAGAATGCTAATCTCCTTGACCAGGTGAACTAGGAGGTGTGTCATGATATTAAAGAAGGAAGGAGGGAACACCAACTCAAAGCTGACAAGACATTGAACCACATCATTCTGTAGTTTAGCTAGATCCATTGGATCGATTGCCTTCTGAGAAATTGCATTGAGGAATGCACATAGCTTCACGGTGGCTAAACGTACATTTGGAGGTAGAATTCCTCTTAATGCAACTAAAAGCAATTGCGTCATGAGCACGTGGCAGTCATGGGACTTTAAGTTTAGGAATTTCTTCTCTGGCACATTTATTATATCTTTTATATTTGAGGAGAATCCAGATGGTACCTTGATGCTTGCTAAGCATTCAAACATGCTTTCCTTCTCTTCTTTGCTAAGAGTGTAGCTGGCAGGACTTAAGTAATGGCATCCATCATTTGTCTTCTCTGGATGTAGGTTGTCTCGTTCTTTCAAACATCGCAGGTCCTATCGTGCTTCAAGTGTGTCCTTAGTCTTCCCATACACATCCATGAAGCCTAGCAGGTTCACACAAAGATTCTTTGTCAGGTGCATCACGTCGATCGCGCTACGGACCTCTAGGACTTGCCGATAGGGTAGCTCCCAAAATATAGACTTCTTTCACATGGGTGCGTGACCGTCAGCGTCGTTCGGAACAGGTTCGCTGTCATGTGCCTTTCCAAATACTACTTTCACATCCTTCACCATATTGAGTACATCCTCACCAGTTCGGTTGCCCGGCTTGGTCTGGTGGTCTGCCTTACCTTTAAAATGCTTGCCTTTCTTTCTTAGCGGGTGATTCATAGGAAAAAATCGACGATGGCCAAGGTACACGACCTTTCGACATTTTTTCAAGAATATACCTTTAATGTCATCGAAATAGTGCGTGCATGCATTATATCCCTTGTTTGATTGTCCTGAAAGATTACTTAGAGCAGGCCAATCATTGATTGTTACGAAACAACAATGCTCGCAGGTCAAAGTGCTCCTGTTTGTGCTCATCCCACACACGTACACCTATTCTATTCCACAAAAGTAGAAGTTCTTCAACTAGTGGCCTCAAGTACACATCGATGTCGTTGCCAGGTTGCCTTGGGCCTTGGGTGAGCACTGGCATCATAATAAACTTATGCTTCATGCATAACCAGGAAGGAAGGTTGTAGATACATAGAGTTACAGGCCAAGTGCTATGACTACTGCTCTGCTCCCCGAAAGGATTCATACCATCCGTACTTAAAGCAAACCTTAAGTTTCTTGCGTCATTTGCAAACTCCGGGAATTCTCTATTGATTGCTCTCCACTGGGACCCATCAGCAGGGTGTCTCAACATATTGTCTACCTTACGGTCTTCTTTGTGCCATCGCAATAACTTTGCATAGTCTTTGTTTCTGAATAGATATTTTAAGCGTGGTATTATAGGAGCATACCACATAATCTTAGCAGAGATTTTCTTCGTGGGACATTCGTCCTCAACATCACCAGGGTCATCTCGCCTGATCTTATACCGCGATGCATGACATACCGGGCATGCATCTAACTTTTCGTACTCCTTCGCCACGGTAGAGGATGCAATCATTAGGACATGCATGTATCTTCTAGATTTCTAATCCCAAAGGCAGACTATCTGTTTTGCTTCGTACGTAGTGACGGGCAATTCGTTATCCTTCAAAAGCATTTTCTTTTGGATTTTAGTAACTCCCCAAATTCCTTGTCAGATACACCATTCTTTACCTTACATTACAACAATTCCAGTGTGGTACCTAACTTTTTTGTCCCGTATCACAAGTTGGGTATAGCAATTTCTTTTGATCCTCTAGCATGCGCTCGAACTTGATCTTCTCCGTTTCACTTTCGCATTCTCTTTGTGCGTCACGAATGGCCTAACCAAGATCATCAGCGGGCTCATCTTCTGCCACTACCTCTTCTTCAGCTTCCCCCATTGCAGTATCATTAAAGGCATCATATTCAGCAATAATGTCATCATCGTCCCATTGTTCTTCTTCACCTTCTTCCATTACAACCCCGGTTTCTTCGTACTTCGTCCAACAAATATAGTTTAGCATGAAACCCGACTTCAACAAGTGTGAATGAAGACTCCTTGAGTTAGCATATTCCTTCAAATTCTTACATATGGCACATGGGCAGCACATGAAACCATCACGTTTGTTTGCCTCGGCCACACGTAAGAAAGAATGCACGCCCTCAATGAACTCTTAGGAGCGGCGATCAGCATTGTACATCCAATGCCGGCTCATCTGCATTACATGACATACATACCATATTAAAACCTAAAACATAATTAGTTAATTATACGACATGCATGCCACCACACAAGGTATTAATTTATGAAAGTCTCGCTATAATGTAGACAATCCCAACTACTACTAAAAAAACTAAAGCTAAAATACACTTCAGCAGCATAAGGATTTCGCGACCAATCCCAACTAAAACAGACAGATTGTGCGTTTGTTCAACATCTATGGGCTTCTTTCGCAGGATCACTGCCTCATCAGCCGTCGTAGCTGCCTGTGCAAGAGAGTTTTACACGTGTTCAACATACTCTTCCTCCCAATACCAGTCTGAACATCCAGTGCCATCCCACTGAAATTAAAACAAAAAATTAGAACTTTAATCACAATCATCATGGAAATAAGTATAAATTAACCATAATCATCAAATACGACAAAATAATTCACATTGCGATCCGGACACTTGTAGAAGATACGACCCTTCTTGGGACACTCCTTCCTCACCCGGTACTCCATCACAATCTTCTCCTCACACTTGCCGCATGCAATGAGAGGGAGGTCCGGCCTTAATCGCTTTGGAACTTGATGAGAGACCGAGGACCCGGAAGCAGTTGACATCTACTCTCTATACTCATTTTTAATATAATATAAATTTCTCATTTTATAAACAAATAAAATTAAAAAAACTCTAAAATTCTCTATATCTATAAACCATGAAGTGTGCTATGCATGTTAGAAATGAAAGCTGAATACTAATTTTGAATAACTACTTTAACCTTCTTTCATCCAAATATGCAAACTTTAAAGTGATTTTGAGCTTAAATGGCTTATAAATAAAAAATCCACCATAAAAAACCACATATATCTAGTCTACAAAATGAGATATGCTACTGATGAAACATGAGAGTATAAAGTTGGTAACCTTTAGAACCGAAGAATCGATAGAGGAATCGAAGAAATCTTGTGATTACCGACGATAAGGAAGAAGAGAGGCCGATGATGAAGTAAGAACACTGAGTTTGAAGTGGCTCGGGCTCGGGGAGGAAGAATGGCTATATAGGAGGGGACCTTTAGTCCTGGTTGAAGACAGAAACCGGGACTAAAGATCCCTTTCTAGTCCCGAACGGAGCCTCCAGCCGGGAGTTGACTTTTACTCCTGGTTGAAAGGACTAACCGAGAGTAAAAGTTAATCTTTAGTCCTGGTGAGTAGCTCCAATCGGGACTAAAGGTCCCAGCAGCAAAAACCTATCACAGTAGCCATTGGACAGGGACCTTTAGTCCCGGTTAAAGCTACAGATCAGGACTAAAGGTCTTTCTAGTCCCGAGCTTAAAAAAAATACTGGAACCCAAAATCAAATTTCGAGCTGGATCAGTTTCTCTACTAGTGTCCGGTGCGGTGATCAGGGGCGGGCATAGGGGTATGCAGACTTGAAACAAGCTACGGAATTGAATAGCACGCAGAAGCGGGTTGAGGTGCACACAGGGCACAGTCCCCATTCCTGCACGTCACGTGCACGCCCATCGTGCTCGTGCATCTCGTCCAGGCGCGTTACTCGGCAGGCACCTTTTTATTTGGCGCGGATGCGACATTCGTGGGGCCCGCATGCCATCCAAAGCATCGACAGGGAGGGCTGTCATCATCATTTGATCATCTCCTGGTTTGCAGTATGGGTTCAAAGTTGAAACTTAAGTAAAAGAGCGAAGAAGGCATGATGCATGGATGCCACTCTCTCCGAGGACCGAGAATTTCAGGGCACCCGATGTCTTTTCCTTCGTCACGGTCAATTAATCTGTTCAACTTATGGTTTTACGACGATAAGTCAGCTGATGCTGTTTTATTGTGAGAGAAAAATACTATATCATAACTGATAAATTGGGCTGATAAGTTTAAAAGAACAGGACGAATGATCCTGGGCCCTGGCCACTCTCTTCACACCTAATACTACTACTCTGTATGCACACTTCCCAGCACAACCTATATATCTCCGTTAGTATAAGCTAATAACGACTCTAAGCTAATAAATATAAAGTAGAGAAACCATAACAAGCAGCTTTCACCATTGAAAGGGATGTATGAACGATTGCAATTTGCAAAGCCGAGTGAAAATCGTGCGACGGCAAGCTCGCAGGAAAAACGATTGCAAAGCCGAGTCGACCTGCCACTCTGCCAGCCTTTTCAGCTCGGTCGAGCTTCCAGTTCCAGTTCCAGTTCCAGCAGAATCACCAATGTCCGTGGGCCAATTACTAGATCATAAACCCCTACTGGAGGCGGAGGCCCAGTCCATTTAGCAAAACCCCAAGGCCCTTTCCCTTTCCTACTCCTCTCTCTCGTACGTTCCACGAGCCCACAACCCCCGGCCCCTCTGGCCTCTCCAGTCTCCGCGCCATGGACCTGGAGCTCGAAGCCGCGGGCGGCGGCGGAACCAGGGCGGTGTCCCTCTCCGTTGACTCCCCGACGGCCGACCTGGGCCGCGGCGGCGGTGGTGGCCCCTCCCGGGACCGCACCGTCTCGCGCCGCCACGTGTCCCTCCGCCTTCTCGGTGTCGGCGGCGGCGGGGTCGCATTCGAGGTCGTGGGCAGGAACCCCGTCGTCGTCGTCCGCTCCCCGGACGGCGGAGGCGGAGGCGGAACCAGCAGGGTGTTCCGCCGCGGGGAGAAGGGCGAGCTCCGGGCCGGGGACGCGCTGTCGCTGTCGCTCAAGGCGCCTGCGTTCTGGGCGGTGCGGGCGAGGGAGGGGAACAGGGACGCGGACGCGGACGCGGACGCGGATGTGGATGTGGAACCCGCCGTGCTGGACGCCGTGGCGAGGCGGGAGAAGCGGACGCGGGAGCGGAAGGAGAGGGAGAGGGAGAGGCGAGCTGCGGAGGAGGCTATGGAGGTCACCGAAGAGGAAGAAGGGGGAGCCTTGGACTCTGATGTGGAGGGTATCGACATTGATTTAGCAGACATAGATCCAATTCGAGGTGACATTCTGTTCTTCGTTGCTGCATTCCACTACAAATTTGAATTCTATAATTGCATAGCATTTTAGCAATTTTTTTTTATTGCCTCTCATCTGGTAGCATCTGTTCGTACACACGCACGCCCACACAACATATGCCCACAACTCACACGATCCGTGTACAAACAAACATATAACTACATCCAGATCTGAAGACCGCGTCTTTCTACAGATTATCGAAATCCTCTGAATTCGTAGGCGATATGCACGTCACGATCCCATTGTAGCATCACGCGTGAGAGGTTGCAAATATTGGGAGAAAACCCCGGTGGGAAAATGTGAGTCGAGCTCAGCTCGAACCCACGACCGGCCGCTCCACCACCCGGAGCACTTGCCGCTCGAGCTACGGCTCGATCCCATTTTAGCAATATTTGACTTCAAGTATAAATTGATAGATTCAGAACAGAATTGCTAACTCTCAACCGAGTGATTTTGGTCCATCCCTCAACCGAATTCTGGGCTGTTGGATCTTACACGTGTCGGCATCTGCTCGGGCTCCTTCGCCGCTCCTCTGCCACCGCCCCAAGGCCACTCCTCTGCTTGGCGGGCGCGCTCTCCTTTGTCGCTCCTTTCTTGCCGCCTTGCCGCCTCGACGCATGACAGTGAGCGTCCTGGCGGGTAGGGCCGCCACGCTACTGGTGTGGACACGGGTGGAGCGTCCCCGGCGGGCGTCCCCAGCGTGGGTGCCCCTGGTGCGGGCGCCGCCGTCCCGGTGTGCCGCCGTCCTCTACTTTCTATCCCTTTTCTGCTGCTGGAAGACGAGATGTGTTCTCGGGTGTCTGTTCTTCTTTGCTCTCTCTCCGTTCTTCTATTTGTAAATTTATATATTTATGAACAATTTGACGATATTTGTGAATAATTTGGCATATATTTCTCTGGTATCTAGAATCCATAGAAAAAATTTGTTTTTTTTTTTTTTGAAAATTTGGCTTATATTTGTCTGAAATCTTAGGTTATCCTCAAATTACACCACTCTGTCTTATATATTACACTGAAGAAATTAGTGTAAATATAGTAATAGAAGAGTATAAATATAGCTAGATGACAGTGTAAGTGTATGGAAAAATTCAGTTAACAGGGAGAGCCAAATCAACCGAATGTCACTTAGACAGATCCATTCAGAATACTTGTTGGCTGCCGTGTCGATTTCTAAACTTACGCTCATGTGGGGGTGCAACAGGAACAGTTTGGTGTAACTAACGGATTTTCTTTACTCTATTTGTTGGAAACCTGAGGAAACTCTCTACTCCTATTACGATAGGCATGCCTTAGCGGTGAACGATTCCAGTCCTATAACATTTGCAATGGCTTAAACTCATATGATCTGCATGGACATCGGTGAACAAAACAAGAATATTTCATATGGTTAATTGTAAAACTCTGGTAATGAACTACTCACAACCAGCCAATGCTCTTCATTAGTATAGCCAATGCTCTTCATTAGTAATATCTTATGTGAGCATTAGTAATTTTCCGGTGCCTAATATTCCGCTGTTGGCTGTTGCTAGGAAAAGGCATTAATGTTAAAATAGGTTCCCAAATGTTTCTGGCTTCTTGTCTGAAATACATTTCTGTTTAATTGAGCGGCAATTATGGTTTTGTCTGCAGAATTTGGCTTCTTGTCGATGGGCCATGAATTTGACAGTTATCCAAAGGGCAGGATTCGTGCTCCAAAGGATTGGAATTGGTTTCTAGAGGAAACAAAGAGGAGCTCCGACGATGAAGCTAGCAGCAAGAGGAGAGGTAGATCGAAAGGTCAGAGTTGGAACAAGAAGAAAGATGGAGAAGGCGAAGATGAAGACTGGACTGGTGAGAGTGAGGATGAAAAGGAGTCTCTGGCAAGAGTTCCTAGTGTGAAGAGACCAAAGTATGCAACAAGATCTAAAGGCCCAGAAAAGCCTAGAAAGGAAAACTCAAAGGTCGGAAGTGGCAAAAGCATCGATGAAGATGAAGGGGCCGAGGATGAAGAGGATGGGCAAGATGAAACTCTGGGAGGTTTTTTAGTTAACGACGAGGATGACGAGCCAATGGAAGACCTGAGCGATGAAGAGGAGGAATTCGACGATGAGGAAGATGATGATTGATAACCACGTCAAAAATGAACCTTCTCAGTGATGAACTGATACTGACAAGTGACAAGTAGTGTCTTTGTTCTCCTTTGTACTCCCTCCGTATAGGATTTAGAAGTCGTTTAGGACATGATTGTGCTTACCAAGGAGTGATTAATTAGGAGGTATTTTTCCATGTCTGCCCTTATTAAATACGTTTGCGGGTGTATTCCATACGAGAAACTTGTGCAACTGAGATGGCTAGTGCATGGAGGCATGAGGCGAGCTGAGTTCGAAACTCGGCGGACGCATATTTTTTTTTGCTGTGGCTTGATTTTGCATGGCACTGTTTGGCGCGTGCATGGCGCTCGGATTTGTTTTTTTCGCGTTTGTGCGCGGCGGAGGCTGCATGTCCCTGTTTCGGATAGGCGTGGCCGCTCGTGTTTGGCTGCATGGCGCTTTTTTTTTTTGCGTTTGGTCGTGGCGGAGGCTGCATGGCCCTGCTTCATCTAGGATTTGGTTGCATGGCGCTCGCTGATTTCATTTTGGCGCTCGTTGTTTTCGTTTTGGCGCTGATTAAGTCCGACGCTTGGAGTACTCCGCCGTTCGCTGCCTTTGCTATTTAAACGGAGCGGTCCCTTCCTCTTTCTACCTCTTCTCTTTCCACTTAATGCTGCTGAAAGCATCTAGGCCCCTAAGTGGATTTTGGTGATTAATGTCAATACAAGATTACTATGACTAACGTGTATTTTGCAGAGGCAATTAAGTTAGGTCATGGTAATGGAGATCGATTGGGCAATTGAGGTTGTCATGTCCCCACGATGGAAATCGTTTCGGTTTTCAAAGGATGGACGACAAGGTTAAGGATAACTAGTTCTAAGTGTCAATTGAAGTTGGAGAGACACTTAGAGTGGTTTAGGACTTTGTTTTTTCTTTGGCCGTACTATGAAGGGGGGTATGAACGGGTAGCTTGACCTAGTTGAGTCTAGTGAGTTAGGTGTGGTGCACACTTGTTAAAACTAGCTCTAGGTAGCTCCTATGATTGCCTAAGATCCTTTGGAGCAAACTTCATTCTCATATGATCGAGAGTTGGAAGTGAATGGAGGGTCAAATCTTGCCGGATGGCCGGCTCGGCTCGTCTTGACCGGACCTTGGCCGCGAGGTCCGGTCGATTCATTTGACCGAGGAGAACATGTCTGGAGTAACCGGACGACTGGAAGGTCGTGTGGCCCGGATGCTTGGGGGCCAGCGTCCGGTCGACTCAAAGAAGGGTCGAGACTTGAGAAAGTGTATTTGATCGACGCGTCCGGTCAGTGGTGACCGGACCCTGAGTATCCAGCGTCCGTCGATTCTGATAAGCATCCAAAAGCGGCCGGACGCGTCCGTTCAGTCTTAACCGGACCTGTCGCGTCGGTCATCACTTGAAACTGTTATGCTGGTTGAACTGGACCGGAAGCGTCCGGTCAATATGATCGGAGGCGTCCGGTCATCCGCGAGAATCTCATAGCGGTTCGCTTTTCAGTTTGCCTTATAAATAGAAGCTCCAATCGAGTGTGGAGTCACTTTTGCTCATTCAACGGTGAGAAACACGTTTGTGAGTGCCAAGAAGAGCAAGGTTCTAGTGAGATGTTTGTGATTTGAGAATCCAAGAGTGAAACCTCATTAGTGAATCAAGAGTAGACAAGTGTGCATCCATCTTCTCATTAGGCTTTGCGTGGTCAAGTGAGAGTTCGTGCTTGTTACTCTTGGTGATCGCCATCACCTAGACGGCTTGGTGGTGATTGGGAGCTTGGTGATCACCCGTGAAGCTTGTGGGTGACCCAACTCAAGTTGTGGCGGTTTTGGGTGATTACGCATGACGGAGTGTCGAAGAATCAACCCGTGAGAGCACTTGATCCTTGGCGCGGATCAAGGGGAGCTACACCCTTTGTGAGTGCTCCAACGAGGACTAGTGGAGAGTGGCGACTCTCCGATACCTCGACAAAAACATCGCCGCCTCCTCTCTCCATTTACTTTGAGCATTTACTTTAAGTATTTACTTTGAGCAATTCAATACTCGTCTTTACATTCATAGAATTGTTATGCTAGAGTAAGTTTGGAACATAGGTTGCAAGTCTTTTGTGCGTTGATTTGATAGAAACACTTTGTCTAGGCACAAGGGGTTAATTGGGCTATCCGTAGGATTTGATTATTGCAAGAAAATTTAGAATTAGCCCAATTCACCCCCCCTCTTGGGCATCTTGATCCTTTCAATTGGTATCAGAGCCTCGTGCTCACGTTTTTAAGCCTAACCGCTTAGAGGAAGATGTCTTACGGGGATGGACCTCCTCCTATCTTCGATGGGGATGATTTTCCATATTGAAAAATTCGCATGGAGGCTTACCTAGAAGCTCTAGATGTTGGAATTCTTAGAGCCGCCTCTCAAGGGTTCCCAACACCTAAGAATGCCGCACAACTCCAAGGCGATGAAGTAAACTATGAAAAATGGAATGCAAAGGCTCGCAACACCATCTTTAGAGGCCTTTGCAAAGATGTGTTCAATCGTGTAAGGAACCACAAAGACGCCCATGCTCTATGGTCGGACGTTTGTGCGCTCCATGAGGGAACCAAGAGTGAGCGTGAGGAACGCTATCATCTTGTGATTAAAAAGCTAAATTCTTTTGAGATGCTTCCCAAAGAAAGTGCTAATGAAATGTATTCTCGTTTAAATGTTCTTGTAGAGGAAGTCAATGGGCTTGGACTTACTCAAATGTCACCATCCGACGTTGTGAGAAAGATCTTGAGTGTCCTCCCCATTGACAAATATGGGCACATTGTGACCGTGCTACATCAAGGTGATCTTTCCGCCGCTACACCGACACAAATCTTGGGAAAGATCAATGCTCATGAGATGTACATGCACATCACGCCACAAGATGGCTCATCCTCTACAAAGAAGAAAGAGAAGGACTTAGCATTCAAAGCTAGCCAAGATAAGGGCAAGGCAAGACTTGAGTATAAGAGCTCAAGTGATGAAGATGATGAAGAAAGTCTTGCTCTCATGGTGAAGAAGACCACCAAGATGCTAAAGAAGCTAAACAAGAGTGGCATCAAGTTTGACGGCAAGAAGAAGTTCTTCACTAGCTCAAGAAGAAAGCCAATCTCCGAGATGGATTGCTACAATTGTGGCGAACTTGGCCACCTAGCTCATCAATGCACAAAGCCCAAGAAAGACAAGTTCAAGAACAAGGGCAAGAAAGATGATTCAAGTGATGAAGATGAAAAGAAAAAGAACAAGCCATACAAAAAGAGAGATGGTAAAAAGAGAGACTTCCACAAGAAGAAGAAGAGTGGCAAGGCCTATATTGTCGGTGATTGGCTCACGGACATTGATTCATCAAGTGGATCATCCGATGATGAGAGTGACAATGAGAAGGTGGCCGCCATTGCTATTGATCTTGCATCCTCACCGCCACCATCGCCATCATCCTCTACACACCTATGCCTTATGGCCAAGGGTGAACGCAAGGTAACTAAAAGTGATGATAGTAGTGATGATGAGCAAGCTAGTGATGATGATAGCGATAGCGATGATGATTCACCCACATATGATGACCTTGTCAAAATATTAAGAAAATACACTAAGATCATTAGAAAGAGTAGAGCTACAAATGAAAAATTTGATGCTAAAAATGATTCACTCTTAGCTAAGTGTGATACATTAGAAAAGACTAATGATGAGCTCAAAGAAACAAATGATTCTATATCATCCAAACTCAAGGAGCTCAAATCTTCTAAGAAAGAGCTTAAAGATAAACATGATAAACTTGAGTGGGTGCACAATGAGCTTATCACTAGTCACAACAAGCTAAAAGATGAATATACAACTCTAAAGATCAATTACGATACCCTTGTTATTGCACAAGAATTCTTACCAAATGAGCCACATGTTGCTACTAACCATGTTGTTAAGATTAATATAGCTACCTCATGTGATGATTTAATTGATGAGAGCATTGAGCATGGATCTAGTAGCAAAGGCAAGCAAGTGGTTGAGTGCAATGACTATGATGAGTATGTCAAGCTCAAGAGTGACAATGAGAAGCTCATGAAAGATCTTGAAGAGATGAAAAGTCACAACACCATTGTGATAGAAACTCTTGATCATGACAAAGATTTGATCCTTGAGAATGAGAAGCTAAAAAAAGAAAACAAAAAACTCAAGGAAGAGAAGAACAATGATATTCTCAAGGAAGAGAACAAGAAGCTCAAGATGGAGAAAGAGCATCTCAAGGTGGGATTGAGCAAGTTTGCTAGAGGCAAGCATCTCCAAAGTGAGCTACTTATGAATACCGTCATGAAGATGGATAGAAGTGGCATTGGATATATGGCAAGTGTAGAGAAGAAGAAGGCTCAAGCTCAACACCAACAATCAAAGCCAAAGCTAAAGCCAAAGAGATGTTTTGAGTGTGGACAAGAAGGCCACTTTGCTCATGAGTGTCAAACTCCACCACCACAACCCTTGCCCAAGCATGCTAGACCCTTTGCTTTCAATGCTCACTACATGCTTAGAAAAGATTCTAGTGGAAAGATGAAAGTCATGTTCTTAGGACCCCCCAACAAGAGTAGGCCTAAGAAGATTTGGGTGGCTAAGTCACTTGTTGAGAAGGTGAAGGGCCCTCAACAAGTTTAGATCCCTAAAGCTTGAATCTCTTGTGTGTAGGTGAACTACAAGACCGGTGGAAGTCATTGGGTTATTGATAGTGGTTATACTCAACATATGACCGGTGATCCTCGTATGTTCACCTCACTAGATGAAGCGATAGATGGACAAGAGAAAATAACATTTGGAGATAATTCAAAGGGCAAGGTTAAAGGATTGGGCAAAGTGGCAATATCAAATGATCATTCCATCTTCAATGTGCTCTATGTTGCCTCATTGAGTTTCAACTTGCTATCCGTCGGGCAATTGTGTGATCTTGGTTTCCAATGCTTATTCACCGAGAAGGAGGTTGTTGTATCCAAAGTAAATGACAAGCAAGTGATATTCAATGGAT